TTTCTGTCTCAAAGAATTGCTACACTCCTCAGATGCATCCAGTGGTTCGCCAATGGGCAGTGATATTGTTCGTGTTAGGGTCCAAGACTTCCCTTTCCTTCCTCTACCCCACCTCGTTGTTATTGGAGGATTTCCATTGGATGTATTTACTCTCTTAAATTTTATTCTCATAAAACACTTAATTGAGTTTGAGCGCCTTTTCATATTGCAAATTTTTTTTACTATGGCTGAGTTTCTACTAAGTTTTTTGGCACGTAACTTGTGGATAATACCATTCGACTTCGATGCGATTGCGAACACCCTGCCAAGTTTTCGCCACCATGCTTGTAAATTGCGTTCACAAAATGTCAATGTGTCACGCAATACGGCCTCCCGACAGTTAGCACTGGCAATCAAAGGTGTGACGTCGCGACTTCTGCAATGATTGTCACTTAAATCATGGGAATCAACCATAAAATTTAACCCAACGGTGGTGGTCACAGCGCTGTAAATTGTTCAAAATCTGCATGGATTTGATTAATCCTAAATTGTGCCAGCATGAAAAACTTTGCTGGCATAGGTACAGTTGTGTTAGTGGTGAGGGCTATTTCGCGCAAATCGTTGGTTCGAAACCAGTTTGTTTATGCATTTTGTGGTTGGTGATTTGGCCGCATGGGTGTCCGACATGCAATGCAGAGTGGCTAATCACGCACTTGTGATGTTTGAAGGAACTGCCAATTATTAGTTTTTTTAATTGCTTCCATCATCCTTAAGAAAATTACTCATACTTTATCTCAATCGGCGTCCATTAGCCATTGACTCTTTTTAACCATATTTTAATTCAGTCACCTTTTGGATCTTCTTTTCCATACCCTTAACGTCAAATCTTTTGACATTGTGGCATTTACTCAGATGAATTTTGCCCAGAATCGTGTAGTTAATGCATAATCATTGAGTTGTATTGACGCTTGTGGATGACCGAGAGAGACGGTTGCGCTAGCCTTTATTTGTGCCAAAAATGCATATTCTGTCAAAGTGTTGTTTCACTCGTCTTCAAGGAAGTTTCAAAGGCTCTACATTATACCATGGTAATAAGAATGCTAATTATCGGTATTCCTTCCACTTCCATAACGTTGAATGCGTTTGCGAGAAAAGCACATTTCTGTTTTTTTTTGCCAAAGTATTGATAGGATAACACTTAATACGCTTTGCAGAAATTGCTGTAAAGACTTGCAAGATGCAACCACTTATGCGCATTACAAAGCACTCTCATGAGCCACCCTTCCAGCCCTGATTGTGGCATGCGATTTTCGGGTATTTTTTAATTTTCCTGGCTTGTTGATAAAGCTCGATAGCACTTAAATGCGGATCTACAATGTCTAAAAAGATTCTCTGCTACTGATCATGGAAAATTTCTCTTGTGATGTGGTAAAATATTTTCGTTCCTTCTTGGTATTTGACCCGTGTCTCAAAGACAGGAATTTCGGCGAAAAGTGGGGCAGCAGCAGAAGTGAGTAGAATTAGGTAATTCTATTCGAAAGTAAAGCATCATGGAAATGTTAAGTTCTCATTATGGCCCTTTTTTTAAACTAATTCGAGTTTGTGATAATGATTACGTCAATCATTGAATCACCTCAAGGAATTTTCTATGCTATTTTATCTAAACCACAGGGCATAATTCAAAATGCCTAGGAATCCTTCTTTTCTATTACCTAGAGCTGACCAACCAAAGGCATAACTACTGTCTGTACTTCAAGCAAGAACGGCACAAACCCTTACCAGGTGATCCCGCTGAAGTGTAAGGTGGAAAGAGGAAAAAATATAGGTATACTGCCATTGGGCATAAAAGACCTTACTTTGCCTCCCTTATGCCTTAACTCGTGACGCCAACACCTTGCCTACCTGCCAGCACACACTTGTGGTGCTGCTATTGGACCAGTCCTGACTGTTCTACCTTATAGACAGAGGCACGCAATTACAAAACCAAACCAATCCAGGCATGCTTGTGATGAAGGAATGCAGCTTTGTTGCATTACAGCACGTCTTAGGAATTTTCGACGGTTAGGAGTTTTCGCTCACTTTCGGGAGTGTTTTATCGATTGCGAGGGCACGCATTCCCAGGAGCATTGGTTGTTAGAAAAGCACTGCACAACCAGAATTTCTCTTTAACGCATGTGCTATTACTGAATGCGAGAGTCCAAAGATGCATAAATCAGTTCGATATTCAAGAAATCAAATCAAGGGAACTACATATACAATGTATGCGAATGGCTCCATGGAGTGGAACCTTTAATGTAATTTCCCTCTAAGTTCTCACATTTGGAACTGTTCTTGCCTGTGCGAGATGTGGCTAAATTAATGCAAAGGAACAAGTCAGAAAGGAAGACTGAGACAGGCCAAAGATTCCAGGCATTCATCAAGGGTACTCAAAGGTATTCTTGCCGCTGAAACAAACGTCAACCTGAGCACATCACCGCTGGTTAGACTAGGCAATGGAGAGCGTGTGCATGTAAAAGCCACGAGACTACTCATGCGTACATAAATTATGGTCCCGCGTCTACGCAAACATACTTGCACTCCACACCATAAGTCATTTAGCTCTCTTTTCCACGCTTCCAGCTGTCAAGCTCTTTGTGGGTGGAAATTCGAGAATATCATACAATTCACACAGTCAGAAATTAAACGGCGACTTCCTTCAATTACTGTTGCTCTCACTTTTACTGGATTAAAAATCATTATAGCTGCTTTGACATTTTATGCCTTTACAGCCCGATGCTGTCAATGGAATTATTTTCACAGCTGTTACTGCTTCCCACTTCCACCAATCCAGAATGTACTTGCTTTAGCCAATGATCTGTAAACAAGTTTATTTAACAACCCATACTTCTTCCAAAATATCAACAGTACCCTAGTAGCTACTGGAACAAACAAAAAACTAGGCAACTATCCAGTAAAATGACCACCTAGTCTACAAGTATTTTAGGCCAAAAGCACCTGCTTTATGGTAAGATTTCTTGATGCAACTTTGTCTTTCAAGATTGATGGGTATTTGAATGGAGCTATCTCACACCAAAGAAATGGTGGCAAGCTCTTGCATTGCACAAATTCTACTCCAAATGCCAATTACATGCCTTTAGGCAGTCGGTCAATAATGCACCATGCAACCCGCGTGGGTGCAAGCGCGTGCCATTACGTGGTTGTGGGATGTTCAAATGTACTTACGTCAACTCTCGAATTTATATACGGAACGCATTCTGACATCGAAAATACCCATCCCCATAGAAATAATAAACTCCCCCATGTGAAGTAGTTTACGAAATTCCGATGCACCCAACACCTTTGCAAGTTTCTGCTTTCTTCCTTTTAGCAAAAATGCATTATTTGGCATTATTCAGCAGACGACTTAAAGCAGTAAAACATATAATTTATTTATCAGACAAAGTGCGTTATTGCGTGCCCTTCCAAAAGTTAAGAGCCTCATTGCGTGAGCTTGAAGCCAAGTCGTTAAAAGCGCATCTCAAAACGGCTATTGAAAGGCATTTTGGTTTATTTTAGCGTCTGATAATAAGATTCCATCACTTAAGGGGTCGAATGGGCGACGTCATTCGTGGGACGTCTAAAATGGGGAATAGTGGGGAGGTGCAAATGCCTCCTGGACCACAATCGCATCATGCTCGTGAGCATTAGTCATCTGTATGTGTTTAGCGTAGGTGTGGGTTCCGGAACGTGGAACGACAGAGATGAAAAACAGCCGCCTCAAATGCACACCCGACGCCAAGATGTGCGTGAGGGTGTACTATGCACTGTGTGCATACTTTGTAGTAAACGGTTGTAGCAAACGCACACAACCAGTACTTTTTCCTAACAGTTGTTAGACTACATGCACGCACAAGCATGCACACAAACGGCGTGCGCACGTGCGTGTGTGTGCAGCGTGTGTTAAGTGTTAATGTATCCATCTCGTCATGGCAATTCAAGGCGAATGTACTGCTAAGCATGCATAGTTATTTTCAGTGGTAGGAATGCCCCTCGGAACAACTCATTACCACAACGGATCAGCTGTAGACCCATGGATTCAATTATTTGAGGATCGTAACAAATTCTCAGGACTGACCACAGTTCATTTACAGTTACCTTCACCTTAAGTGTGCTTAATGCCCATTACCGAATGAAAGCAAATTCCCACAAGATTGGTATGATTTGACCTTCACTTGCATTTATAGCAAAGCCATAATTAACACAAAAACCCTCAAGACGAATTTGACGCCACGAGTAAAAAGGAATTTCCAGGTGGCGAATAGTAGGGAAGCGTTTCATGCCACCGACTTCATAACGGGAAAATTTTAGACTATAGCATAATGATTGGCTTTAGCACCGTAAGTCGGCATTTAAATGAAATTAATAATTTTCAATGCAACAATTCAAGTTAGAAGTCGACCTTGTGACATAATTTTGGCAGGTAGTCATATACAACTCCCTTTTTAGGTTAGACACTACCAAAATCGATAGATGCATTTATAGGACTTTGAAAGTACTACAATGATAGGGTTTTATAGTTTTGGAAATTTTGGCTTTGGTAAATTAACAACGTGAACCCACGAAGTATAATCTGGTGCAAATGATTTTTGCATGAATTACCGTAAACCTTCTAAAGCATAACAAACAACTGCCACTGGTCAAGACCCAAATGCCTTGAAACTTCCCTGAACTTGCATTCGCAACATCGACAAGCGGGCGGAAAGCAGCGACAAGTGATGTCGGAATTCTTTGTGCCTATTGGTTCATGGATTGACCCATACTTAGCTATGATTGGTCAGTCATGCTAGAAATTAGTCTAGCGCGTGCGCACGTGTTAATCACAGCTGAGAGAGAATTGGCAACACCACACGTATACGTAGTGCGTGGCCTTGTCGCCTCCATAGTGGGACTGCCGTCGCCCCATGGACTTCATAATATATTCAAATTACGGGTAGTCGATACGTGCGTGAATACTTTTGCCTTTCTAACTAATCAATTCAATTATGAAAAAACGTCTCGTTGCAGCCAGTACAGATCCGAACGGATTGTTGCCCTTTGGCCCACAAGTCAATAATAGTGTGAGCGATCTTAGCTTACAACTTCCTACCTGTCCTCTCCCCCAAAAACCCCCTTGGGGCGGTGACCTCAGACAGTCGTTTACAGCGTCGGTCGCTCAGCTAAGTACAAACATGCCCACCTCATCCAAATCTGAATATGCCCCAACCACGGGCGACGAAAATCGAAATTCTCTTGGTCTCACCCCTCCGGTTATCAACCAAAGTCAGTACGTTTCCTCCAAAAAGTCGGATGTTACAAGTCAGGCGTCTTTCAATTCCAGCCAGCTTATTGAGGCCTTTATTCACAGTTCTCAAATAGCAAGAAGTGTGCCTCCGCAGCAAAGCGATTTGTCTCAACTCATTCTGGAAATGGCCAAAAGCCAACTTCCTCAGCAGCCGCAACAATCAGTGAATCGAACTATTGCTCAGAAGGCTGCTCCCGATAAATTGCTCATTACTTCTAGGAGCCCGCCTTTGCGGTCGCCGTCAGAGACTATTCGAGGATTCGTCGATGGCAATCATTCCAAGCCTCGAACTCCATTCGTTCACTCGCCAGCCCTTCAATCTCCTCCTCCTCTACTTCTACCACCTCTTTCAAATAGTGCCTCAAGAAATCAACCGAGTCGTCCCCTCACGGCTTCCGACTACAACTCATCTCCTTCAACATTTTACAGTCACCACTTTCGCCAACCTACTCTTACCGAGCAACAAGCCAAAAATCATCTGGAAAAGATGCGTCAGGCGGCCTCACTGTCTATCGATCAGCAACTCTATTCCGCTACCCTGTTCTGTATGATGGCGCAACAACAGCAACAGCAACAGTTGCGCGGACACCCACCGCCACAAATACCCCTTCCCCCACATTCTGAAGGAGATAAGAAGCCTTTGGTTGACTACTCAAAATCTGGGTGGGTGATTACCCTTTATATGTTGATCGTGTACCATTTCTATCTCTTTCTCATCGCACTTTTGGGTGCGTTAACTTCACAAAGAATCGTGGCCGGGTGAGGATATCCGCAATGCGACAGTAGAAACAGTGGGGCGGCCAGCTTTCTTTTCGTCTGAGTACTGGATCGCCACGCCTTCGCTGTGTATTGCTGTTCATCTCTTTTCATTTCACTTCATGTTTCTGTATGAGTAATGTTTTCTGCTCATTGTAGCAAGCCTGTATCAAGCCATTAATGAACCTATTTTCTGATGTACTTCGATTTACGTTGGATCACCTGCAGTGTATTGCCCTGAGGGTTTTTCCTGGTCGTCCAATTGAATTTTGGCCAACACATTCATTTTGAGGTTGTGCTTAATATAAAGTTGCGATAATGCATTAAGTTGCAAGAAAATGGTCACCTTTCCGGCACAGGAGCACTACCACCAATTCTACAATGGTTCTGAGTGCAGCTCTTGGTTTGAGCCCATTCCAACCGCATTATAAAATGATTGAAAATAAGGGTGAATGATTGTTACTTGGTACTAATTGCCATTCCTTCTTTTATCTTCCCTTTAGGCTATCTTCAAGTGCGCGAAATCTAAAGTATGATCCCTATATCTCGCATATGCGACCCACATCACACAACTCTTACATTCGTGTACCATCCTCCTATCACTCTTGGGCTAAGACGGAGCCCTCCTCGTCAACAGTTTCGGGTTACTCCACTATCGATATACTCCGAGAGTCCAAACAGGCTTCTGAGTCCATGAAGCCAGCCAATAAATTACTGACCACTGGTGTTTTCTACCCTGAGAAACAGCCGATTGCATCCCCTCCACCACCCTCAGCCCCTCCTGCCCCCTCAGTTCCTGCCCTAGCCACAACCTCGGCTTCTTCAATTAAAAACCAGTCGGATGCAGTAGATCATCACTTCCGAATTGCCTTGAGTAACAACAGGGGCAGTAGTAGTACTCAGCCAGAGCCACCGACGCCTCCTGTGGAAATAACTAGTGAAATGAAGGCTAGTGATGGTCGCAAGCATCCTCACCCCTTTCCAAACCACGCCTCCATGATCCAGACAGTACATGGAGTATCTTCATGTTCATCCTCATCTTCCATCAGTTCAGTGTCTCCCTTTGACCGGGATGCCAATTCTCCTGGACGGAAACCCTTCCCTCTGCCTCCACCGAAGTCTGAAAACAAAATAAACAGTGAGGCCTGTCGATTTTCTTTGAAAAAGAGGCTTATTCAACGCTATCAAGCTGATGCAACCACAGGACTTGCTTCGGAGTCAACTGCGGTAAACATGGAGAAAATGCCCGATCAGCAGCCCCAAGCAATGATAAAGCTGGAGCCTAGTGCAACCCCTACCACAACCCTAGAAGATTTTTCCTCTGCTAATGTATGTTATTCTCCACCAATGCTCTTTTGCAAATTCCACCTGTCTATCCACTTTTATGCGCTATCAATTTGAGTTTTCAACACAGAAGTCAGTAACTGTTCAGGCGCGCTTTAAAGACTCGTTTTTAAGATTTTGAAATATGTAACCTGCACTTGTTGCAGAAGTTTATATGCGCTTATTGCAATGCAAGCATGCGATGTTTGTCAATTAGCAATTTCGATGCAGACAGATAATCACATTGTTAGACCAAACGGGATTAGTTCATCCTTTGACGTACAGCGGTACCAGCGCCCCAAACAATTCCGATGTGTCAATTACTATTTGAAAACGAGATGCAGGAACTCCATTTTCTTATCGACTTGCAAGGCACGAGAGATACGCGAAAGCTATGAAATACAGTTTCCTTCATTTTCCATGTAACAGGTGATTCTTCAGATACCAGACACTGATTCTGCTTTCCAACTTTCCATTCCTGTAGCTTTAAGACACAGTCACAATGCTCATGGTTACAACCCTTCAGACCCTTGGATTTACTAGAGTGGAAATGCACGATGAAACATGACATCAAAATTTACCTGACTATATCAATGACGTTGTAGCTTATTTACCACTTCTTGAGATCGTGATGTCTCACTAACCTATCTCTAATGTGAGGCTCAAGGGAGCACCGTTCTCAGTTCGGAATATTGTCTTAGAAAAAAGGGCACCGTCCAATCATTTCCTTTTCTTTTCCGTCTCGATTATTTTTCTGCCGAAGATTTGTTAATGGGCAGCTATGAAAGGGAGGAAACATCAACTTGGACTTTTTCTCATCCCAAATCTGCCCTGGTTTTGGTTGACCTATTTGCTCCCAATGTGAAAACAATTGAGTACTAGTTATCGCATTCATTGCTATTTCCAATTGCTATTCAGCAGCCACAACTCACTTTTCACGCTCTTGCTAGACTTGTGAACCTTTCAGTTTGATGAAGTTTTAGATAATCTTGGTTTCCAAAACATTCAGCATGTGTATAACAGTTAGAAATTGATTTTGTAGTGGAGTAATTTATTGATGCGCCTGAGATTACATTTTGGTTACGAATGCATTTACAGATGAGCGAATGGTGTTAGTGACCACTTAACAGATTTCAAATGGAAATTGGTAGCTTAAACAGTTTTCTTGTTCCCTCTGTTCCCATCTAGCCAAACTTTGCAGAACCGAGCAAAGTTAAGGAAGAGCAAACTCTAACAGGTGGTCGTGATTCACCGTCCTCTCCTACAGGGCCTCAATCCATTGTCAACGGATCTTTGCCCGAAGGGTCTCCTTCCAAAGACGTCTCAAAACGTGCCGCAGGCAACACAGCTCGTCGGCATCCGCCGGTGAGGGCCTCAAAGATTGCACCACTCATGTGCTCCCTCAACGAGTCTTCTCAGTCTCCCTCTATCACCTTCCCACCGACTAAACGAGCTCGCAATAACGCTGCAAAACAGCACTCTGGTTTTTCCTCCATCCGAAAACGCAATGATACAAGTGTTGGTGAACCCAATGGCACCAAATTGTCACGAGTGAGGACTACCAAATCCCGGTTCTACAACAGTCGGGTAGCATCACCGGCAGCAGCAAGTGATACGGCCCTGCAGAGCAGTCGTCGAAGCCGCACAACGTCGGTAAGATCGACCACCGATCAGACCCATTCCGAATTCGATTTCAATGGGCAGGATGAAGACGAGGAGCAGATTTTGCCACTGGAGACCAGTGGAGGCGGCACAAAGGCGGCTTCTAGTCGGAGATGGTTCGGCTCACGAAAACGCAAATCAGCTACCGTTTCATCAGGCCCCTTGTTGAGGGTTAAAGTACCGCGTAGATCAATGGAAGAGGAGGAAGCTACGAAACGACCCAAGCATGGAAAACGTGCACAAAATACGCGACAAACGAAAAGTGCTTTGAACTCGCTTCCTCGTACCTATGTAGACGATGAAGACTATGAGGAGGAGGAAGAAGAAGACGACTCGAATGAAGACGATGTGGAAGCCACGATTCGAGTCAATCAGGAGGAAGAAGTGCATGGACCCAATGAGATCGAAGGTGGGAAGAGTGGGATAAAGGAAGGGCCTCTAAAGTGTCACCGGTGTGGTCAGTTGGTTAAGGCGGTCAAAGTAGGGCGTAAAATTGACCCATTTGACTTTCGGTGCTGCGAAGAGAAGTTATCACTTCAGGAAATTGGAAGACGGCTTCCTCCTCCACCAAATTGTAAGTCAATTCAATAGGAAATAAGCATTGTATTACCCGATATATGCCCGAATTAATGCCATCAGTGGTTGAGCGATAGCTATATTGTCACATCATTTCATTTTCCTCCCCCATTATATTGTTGACACCGTAGTTCCCATAATGATTATGCCTGCTTTTACCATTCGCGCGTGAACTCTATTGGTAGTGTTTGCATGTATGGCTATTTGATTGGACGTGTATTGCGCGTCGTGTTACTGGTTTACATATGTAGTAAATCAGGCAATACTTCACATGATCGACTACCTATGAAATTCTTTTGGTACCAAGCTGAATCAAACCGTATATTTTTGTACTCAGTGGCCATCCTCTCTCACCGTTCACTCTGCGGTGGTGAGCTGGGGATACAAGATGCGGATGATATCGGCTCTGAGGTTGAGGGGCCCTTCCTTCAACTGAACAGCTGCACGGAACTGGAGAGGCTAAAGCCTTCCTTTCGTTGTCGAGCCTGTCGTGAGGCCAGTCGAGTTTCATCCACTACCACCGTAGAGACAAATAGTAACCCCAGCGTTATAGGCAGTGGCAACAGTAACAGTAATGCGGACAAGACCAGCGTCCGTCGACGGGGCATCAACAATCGCAACCATCCCTCTATTGCCGCTGGTGCTAATAATTCTTCTTCACGTTCCAATAGCGATGCGGGGAACGACTTGAAGACCGCCGTGGCTACCGTTTCTGTGTTTTGCCGATTCTGGGGTTTTAGAAAGCAAGTGGAATTATGTCTTTTGTTATCTTTTTAACTTATCAACGTTTTATGTTTGTTTTAATTTATGCCGTTCTTCACTACGCCTTTTTATTTCTGCGAAAGACAATATTCCATGAATCAATTATGCTTTCTCTCACTTGTGCCAAGTCAATAATGATTTTAAGATTCCGTGAGAATTATTCGGGTACTTCGCTCGCCCAACCTCAACCATCTCATGTGATTCACCTCCACTGTTCCTTTGGAACCATTCTTAAGAATGTGCTAATATGTCGCACGGAGCTTGTTTGAAAGGCTTGCGTTTGTTTGTGAAAACGGGCTAGGTCATGACCAACCGATTGAAAAACCTTTAAGATTTTGATTGATATTAGAAGCTGTTGACCTAATCCCTTATCATGCTGCAGGAGCAGTATTTTCACTCCAAGCACGCTGACGACTTTTGCACCTGATGCTTGGCATTCGCTGTTGGCTGTGCTGCATCACTTTGGCTAAGGCGGTTGCCCTCGCCTTTTACCAAGCCGCACACAGAACATAGGCTAACGCTATGTACGTTAATAAATGTGCGCCAATGATGGAAAGATAATTAAGCCTAAAAGTAGCAATGACGAGGGCAGCGACAGCACTAGTATGCTAGCAAACGCCACATGATTGTCCTCACAAGGCTGATCTTGTGCAATGGGACAACAGTAGCGCTGCTCAACAGTCACGCTCCTTTTCATTTACTCCATGTCGTCGGGTAACGGAACGGGGTACCTCGCTTGAAACAAAAATCGCGATTATCGAAAAAAACCCGTTGGCATGTATCAAGTATGGATGGACCTTATTGAACAACTCCTATACTTTGGTGGAATATTATTTAGTTAGTGGTCGGATAAAGTTTGGGTTTAAACCTATGCACTCTCTCAATTTGGTGGTTCATTATCTCCTCACTGTAGGGATATCGTTATAAAAGGCAGGTCTAATGTGATAACTTTCTGTCCAATTTTTTGGGTCTAAAGCAGAGTGAGCGTGATTTCAAACAACTTAAAATGTCAGACCTGGTGCTTCGTGCTGTCAGAATGATAGGATCTGTTATGAAGACGAAAAAATTGCTGTTCTTTGTAATATTAATGCTATTTCAGACGCATAAGTGTTTGCCATAACATCGAGGACGACTTATGGGTAGTGTGTTCTGTTTTTAACTCCTGCACGCACTTCAAAATACGGATGAAAGGTTTATAACGATAAACAATCGTGAACGCCGATATAATCTATTTTGATTTGCTACCTGGCTTACGAAAGTTACTTGATTTGATGCTGTTTCGAGAGGTACTGCAAATTGTAAATGGTCTTTCATATCTAATTGATTCTCTTCTCCCCCTTCTTTTCTCTCAACCTGTATTTTTGTTTATTAAATCATTGATGTGTTTTTTTTTAGAAATATGGCAACTATCACTACCTCAGCTACGCAAAATGTCTGCTTTCCTTAATAAAATATTATTTATGAAGGGTCCAATAGCACTAACGTACTTGTGCTATTAATGCACGCACATACTGTTAGCAATCAGGTGTCATTTGTTTGGTCCTTTTCCGTCGGCGTCGATCTGCAGTGATGGTACTTGCAAGTTGGTAAATCTGCCTAGGGTAAGGCTTTGTATTTCCACTTCTACCTGGATACGGGTTCCACTTCTGGCTCACTGAGTGATGTGCTTATTGCCACTGCCGAAACCTCAGCAAGGGTAGCTGCATTACTTATTGTCGTCTCGAATTTTTTCAAAAGTCAGTTTTTAGCAATATGTTTCTCGAACTTAACTAATTTTTAATATTCCATTATGTACGTAAGATAAGCAAAGCTCCTGCCCCAGAATTCGTATTCTACTGTCCGAGGGAAATCCCACACTATCATTAGACGCCCTGAGGCATTAGCCGTCATAGCCTCTCCTGTGATCATCTAAGCGCATTTTCCTTCCAGTCTGCAATAAATTAAAGAAGAGCATTTCCAAAATGGACTTTCATCTAGGTGATAGTTTTTTGCGACCATTCTTTTCCTTTTATCTTGTGTCCAGACATCGAACCTATCCTAGTGCCAGACTGAGGCATTGATTCGCGCGTCGTGCTTGTTGGGCAACTCAAAACCTTAGTGATTCCGCATTTTACCATCAAAATGTCGAGAATTTACGCATCATTAAGTACAATGGCATTCTGAAATCATGAATTTCCCTTGTCTACTCTCCCGTCACCGTCGAATTATCAATATACCTCCGAAAAATTAACAGCAAGAGCTGAATGGTTTCAATCACGGCAAGTCCTACTTGAGGGTCTTCAAAGGTCACACTCACATGATGCCTTTTGATCTAACTTGACCTTGATGTAGGATGATATTCCGACGAGAAGTATTCGACCAATCTCTTGTTTTTGTTCCGGCGCATTTCATAGTTTCAACGGTTCATAAGGCTCTTGCTATCCACCATTTCTCATCCATTTCTATGAACATATCATGTTGATTTTGTAGTGCACTCTAGTACAAAGTACGGCTGCTCATATAGTCAATTTTTCATTCCCAATCGTGTTATGACCTCATTCTTTATGTCTGTCACTCTCCTGTTTCCAAACCCTGACAGAGCAGTGATTGCCTTCCTCCTTTTCTCTGGTTCCACTAAACACTCGTGTAGGTTCTCCTTGGGCCTTAGTCTACGTACTCATGTCCCTGCTCGCGTACGTATGTCCACCCTGGTTATCGATCGGCCACTCGCCCGCTTGCTCGCTCGCGATGCCAGCCTAACTTAGCGCAACATTCCCAAGCCGCCACCCAAATACTGAACTCTCCCCATCACTTGCTTTGCTCTCCCTCGTCCTCCGCCTATGCCCTGCGCCGGCAACCACTTTACCCAATCACGATCTCTAACCCTGTTTTTCTCTTTGTGTAATCAGTGTCAACAGTAATTTTTTGCTGTTGTGTCATATACACAATCCTCAAATGAGATTAGTTGTTTTTCTCTCCTACCAAAGGATGTCAATATAGCACTCCTTTGCAAACCTATATACGTCTGTTTCCGGAATCTACAAAAAAAATCCATATTTCTTTTTGGCAACGCCTCTACTTATCATTTGCACCTCATTTCGGATAGTCGCAATTTGTTATATTTGATATATCTCCATTCAGCATCTAGTCGGTTAGGATGTCACATCGGAAAGTCAATCACTTTAAGCTTTTCCTTTTTTCCTTTCCACCTCTTGAGCTGCCGATGCGTAGGAATGCAAATACATCTAGCCAGACTAAGAACTCACTTATAAGGCCTGATTATTTAATTTTCCGTCTTTTCCAGACTCTACTATGATCAAAAGGGCCTCCTCAGTGTCTCCGATTTCTGCCGAACCTCGGAGGCTGATTCAATCGACCGCTCACTCTGGGCTATGCATCATCATGGTGAATGCATGCGTTTAAGCCTAAAATATATGTGCATTCAAGTCATTGTGGCACCTACGCGACAGAAAGCGATATGCTGAGTGTGACTCAATCAGTGATGTAGGAGATGACGGTACACGCTAATAAGTTTAAGTGGCAATAACGTAGTCGTTCTCTTAGCAGGATAACCATCAGGTCGACAAAGCCACACAGTTGCTTAGGTGTACGTGTCTTCCTGTGTATTCCAAAATTACCTTCTTTACATGAACTGATATTGAGGTGCTGCTTTCTGGCCTTATTGAGCCCAGTAATGCTTTAGCTAGGGCGCTTTACATAAGTTAAAGCATATACTTTCATGGCTGTATCTGGAAGAAGTGGAACTTGGCTGCAAAAATTATTGTGGTTTTAACAAACTTCTTTTTCTTCCAGTTTCACCGCCTCTGAGTCGACACAACGCAATCTATTGTCTAGAAAGATTAGGCGCAATCGCTTGTCGTCTCATGCTCTCTGAGCTCTCCATTCTCTCTTCCTCGACTTCGAGTGATGGAACTGTCACTCGGCAGTGCCGTCCTACTTTTGGCTCCGCTGAAAAGAACCTCAATTCGCCGTCGCGTCATGTCGCTTGGAAGAGACCTGTTCAGGGAGTGAGAGAGATGTGCGATGTCTGCGAGACCACTATGTTTAACTCCCACTGGGTCTGCACCAAGTGTGGTTACTCAGTTTGCTCCGCTTGCTACTACGCAAAAGCAAGCTCTCTTACCAAAACCAAAGATAGCCCAGATCTTCTGGGGGACGCTACTTCCACTGTCACCCCTGCGGTTCATGAAAGCGGAGTGGAAGAAGTGGGAGTCAAGAGTAGGATCCTTTTTATTGTAAACTAAACGCTTTTTTACGAAACTACGTATGGACAGTGGCTTTTGGGTTTTCTTTTTAGATCTCTCACCCGCAGTAGTCCAACTGAGCTTCGAGGACTACTCGGTGCGTCAACCTTGGTCTACGTGTTCAGCCAGTCGACGACCCCATGATCCCAGCAAGATGATGCTTACCGCTCTCTTGCCGTTTGGCAGTTTGCATTGCTTGTGGCACCGCCTTCACAGGATTGTACCGCGTCTGGACTGTTCCTGTCCTTGTCCCTCAGCTGACCAATTGGTGTCGGGAGAAACTGGGGCCACAACTAAGGATGTCGCCTCTCCGGCCTCCTCCACCGACACTTCGGCTGCCACTTCCCTTGACCTCCTTGCAGATCTCGCACTCAAGTCCACGACCCCGTCGGTCGGGTCTCTCGAAGATGGTGGTAGTGCTGAAGCGGAGGCAGTGGACGGCGAAATTCGGGACCTGAGTCAGAAATCTGGGTCCTCGGGTGTGCTGTACCTGAAAGACGGTGATTCGACCAATTTTAAGGCCTTCCAGGTGATTCCTCTTTTGCTCTCAACTGTGTTGCTAGCTTGGAATTCTGGTATTTGAAAGTTCTAGCAGATGGATTCCTCGAAGTCGTGGTTTAGCACTATTATGCTAAACGGGTATGAACAGTAACGGTTTCACAGCTTTGTGCACAATTACCTGTGCAGTAGTTTTGGACTACGAACTTATCGGCCACGGTGGAAATGTCTTTAAAGACGCATTATTATTTAAGTATTTGTCTTCATGCTGAGCTCGCTTCGTAATGCATTGTTATATCTTGCAACATTCATCAGTTACATTTCCTGGTTCTGATTCGTCGTAAAATGAGCCGTTATTACGAAACTGTTAGGTGCTATCATGCAAACTGGCTCTTTAGACATTTATCAGCACATAATTCTCTCATGATTGCAAAAATTATGCGTTTTAAAACAATCAGTCGAGATCATTCTTTGCTGAAGTAAAATAAAACTAATTATAGGGCGCGAATTTGATTTCACTGTGTGGTGAGATTCTTGCATGCATTAAGAGATCCTCGATTAAGTAGCAGAATTGTGTAGTACACAGTTTGTCTCCCATTTTGGTATTTATTTATAATGTGGATGTATGAGGACCCAAACGTAGGGCTGCCTAAGGAGGGCAACCAAGCTCTTCCAACTGGTTCAGATGGCCAATTCCATTGTTAATAAAGATGTTCTGGATGTGCACCTTCCGCCAAGAGCGCAATGCTTTATGCACACGTAGATTAGATCCTGATTAATGCATGGCTCTCAATGTAGGCATATCCAGTAGCAGGCCGGCTTACTTCGCGCTACGAGGTTAATGATGACTGTCATAAGCATAGCTAAACATCTCAGTGCACACACTGTAAAGATCTCAAACGCTTGTAACGGCGCCTTGCTGCCGTCTTTATCCCATTGAGGCGTGAAAGTACATTACACGTCGCCACGGTCTAGGTCTTGCGCTGAGACGACAAAAGTATGACTTTCCAACAGACAATTGAGTGTCGCTCTATTTTCGACGCCGCTGCACTTGTCACTTCCTCCACCCTGTTTGTTTCGGTTTTTGAAAAACGTTTGTTTAAAAAATCGCGAGTCAATGCGTCAGCGCCGATGTAGCATCATATTGCAGATGTGTGAGCGCGCACACCAAATACCCGTGTAACCAAATTACCGGTGCTAAATTGAACTCTCTCGAATCACTTGTGGGTAGTGTGCCTTTGGCACTGATTGCACAAGCCTTTTAATGGATCCAATCATGTGCTCCTTATGATGAAGCATTAATTACTTGAAGAGGAACATCATCAATGCAACCTGTGGTCCTAATACGCAAGAATTACTTGCTCGTTCCTCTTGTTTTAGCCTCGAGCATTGCATTTCCCAATGCTGATGCAGGCTATTATTTTAGGAAATCATAGAGACATAAAATCTTGGCAATTTTATGTGCAGTCGCAATGCTCCTCTGCGTTCAAAACGTGAAGACTTGATCTAAAAATAGCCATTCGTAGCTTTTAACCTATTCTCGGAACGCAGGGAAAAACAACCGACGGATTTTCCCATTAACTGTTTTGACGCCTGCTGCAAACTCTGGAAAACCTGACTTTTACTTGCTTACCTTTTCATTAGTAAGCTTTGGTACTTTTGCTAAATGTGAGTACGTTGAAAAGTCTCTATCATTAAAGGTCGTCTTTGTGTACTTCAATTACTCGAATGTTGACTACTTGAGCATTAGGACTTGGCTGTATGCGTGATTTCGGATACTTTTCGAAAGCACCAAAAGTTTAGCCCCTCGTGGTGCAGTTAGGCCATCATTTCCATTCTTTTTATCGGGAAGTGTGATGCAAGCAAAACGCATTATTTGATTTTTAACTGCGATTTTAGCGACACTGGGCCACCAATCAGCCGGTGGTGATCTCTGGTTGCGGGAGGCACTTTAACGCCTCTCTGTGGACGGCAAAATCGCTCAGCCGAGAGAATCCAACCCCAGGGACTGCTTCGCAGATAGTACTCATAGACTGCGAAACCAACCTCATTGTTCCTCGCCACCCAATTCGGGCCTTCTGGGAGGCCTTTGATGTCCATCCTAACAATTCTAGTAGGAGTTTGTTTTTCCCTTTAACCCAACGTCCACTTTGTTTACTTAAGGTTCTCCTTTGAGATCAAGGACCGAAAAATGTTGAAACTCAGTTGCCGGGCGAGCTTTCAGTTAGGAATGATTTTCAGCTTCCTAAATACACATTTCAGTTTATATTCGGAAGAAATATCAGTTGGTTCAAGACTCATTGGGTGCTCTGCTCCTTTTTCTTGTGTAATTTGTGGTTTGAACATAGACATATCTCCACAATTGTCAACATCTTCATCGCTTTCCTTTTTCGGCCTTTAAACTCAAATGGGAGCAGGCGTATGTGATATGTATTTTGCTGGCAAACTTTAGTTCCCATAAACCTATTCTTTACTATCAATAAAACTTCGTTCCATCGAACTAGAATCCATATCATAAGGGCGTCTTTCCTCCTTTGCTGCTATCCCAAACTACTTTATGTACCTCTGATCCTGCCACAATTGGCACAGCTTCGCCTAGAGAAGGAAAACGAGAGGTAAAGCTGCATAATGTGGGTGATGCTCTTATCCGTTAAAATTGATACGAGGTAGGCGCTCGCTTAACAATCGCCACGCGCGAGTACATGTGGAGATAATACACTGAAAACTCTCAGGGCAAAGATACTCACGAAATTACTTGTTCCTTCGCCTTTCAGCGTAAAACAATCTCACCTTTTAGGCATGAAGCATATAATATTAGTTGCATATAATATTAGTTTTTCAAGTACCCAACACATTATTAACTGATGACTATATTTTTGCGTTTTCATATTTTTTTCTGTGTCTATTCCTCTAATGCATTCGTAGAGCGTACCTCCTCGACGAAGGAGGCCACTAGGGCACTGCAACACCTGAAGATTCGCGAGTGGCCCCCCTTGGGTGACCTAGCGGAGGCTTATCCCGATCGATACGCCGATTTCACGGAGCATTTGCCTTTGCCAGAGTACACCCATCGAGAAGGCCAGCTTAATCTGGCTGCTCGTCTACCCTCCTTTTTTGTGCGTCCTGATCTTGGACCTCGTCTCCACATCGCTCAGGATCTCACCTCTCAGCCCAAGGCAAGATTCATTTTCTCTGCCTACTTCATTGTTTGGCCCCAACCTCTAATTTAACTAATCCTCACTGCCAACTTTTGTGTGGCGGTAGTTCTGAAGTTAGAAGGGTATACGAAATTTGAATCTAGCTTCAATGGCCAAACCTGCTAGCTGAATAATCCCGTAGGGGCAATTGTGCAACCAAAATAAATAACGTGGTTTTATGCGATCTTTCCTTTTGAGCATCACTTTCTATCCAGTCCAGAGTAGCCGGTAGCCGGGTCATCTTCTGCTCCTTGTACAATGGAGGTTAATTACGCATTTCCGCTGCAGTTTTGTCATCCATTTGCTCTGCTCCGCCACAGATTTAATCATCCATAGCAGGTGCGTTTTCTTCCGCGTTTGGATTAGTCTTCAGGGCGTGAGATACCCACTGTTATGCACTCGGTTAAATACCATCATTTGATGGGATGTTCCATTCATTCCCAACATTTTTGAAAGGCAAGTCCTGCACAATTGCTTAGTTGCTAATGGTAGTCGCCTAATACCACTAAATTGACGAGGGGAGAGGTTTGACTACTCATTTGTAAAATTGGCATGAAATGGGGCATATTTTAGTAGTGCTTGCAAATGTGTGAATTTTCATCGGCTACTCGACAAAATAGATTCTTGAGTTCCTATTCCGTTTTTTCCACCTATTACGGGTAGTAATAACTGCAGAACCATGTATTCAAGTAGCTTTGCGTCATTTTATTGGATTTTACGATGGTAGAGCTATAGATGACAATGAATGGGCTAGTTCCCATACCACATCCACTCTTTTGCATAGGACACATGATGTGCACCAAAACAGACATACAGGTGTAGGGTTTATTTTACTGCCGAAAGTGAGTATCATCTTCATAACCATGGTTGTATCACCATCTCCTATCTTTGAAGCACCGACTGGCTAATAACCACTCAAATGGATCACGTTCCTTGCCATTTGCTCTCCACCTCTTCTTGGGCGTATCCTTTACCAAGGATATCGTTGCTGTCTTGTTAGCCCACACTGCTCGTCTGAAGATGTCCTCATTCAGGACATTTGCGCCATGACTCGGAACGTGGTGATACTTGCGTGTATCCCCACTTTCCAGTTGGCCTAAGTTATCCTTGCTTGTGTCTATGTAAATATCTTCTCACGAATTCTCTTAATTCGTTTTCTGCTACAGGGACGAGTGGCTTAATATGTCAAACACGCCTTTCAATTGTTTCTTGTAAATGAACCCTGAATTCCAATGACCTCGCAAGGTATCCTGTAAATGAGCCGTGAATTGGCTACTCAATAAAACTCCAAGTTTTTCACATATCTTTCTAAAGCAAGTGTTTATGCGTATGCCTTATCAGCAACGCCTTTACCATTCCAGGTTGGTACAATGAACTTGCGAGTGGATGTGACGGATGTAGTCAATGTGCTGATGAACGCAACCAGGCAGATGGAGCAGACGTGCCCAAAGGGTGGGGAAGGTCAGTTACGCGCCTTCCTTCGTGCTGCCGGTATTGATCTTGCCGAGGTCTTCGTCAACAAAGGACACAACAGTGCATCGTCGGCCCGAGGTATGGTGGATTGTTCCTTCTTTTAGTCACAACTACTAGCTTATTTAACCTCACTGGGTAGCTACAATGTATTTTTTGTTCTGGATTAATTCAAATGGAGTTTGAAAATACGATTTGTGCCCGCTCCGGCTTTAAACGAAACGAACTTTCGCTATGCTACATGCATAACCCCTTACCGACCATAGCAGGCAGCACTTGGGTGGAAACTCCACAATGGTTAAAGCCGCAACTCGTTACCTCAGTCCTTAATACTTGTAACATCATAAGACTCCTTTTTATTTTTAACAAGCAGAGGCTAAAGCAGCGAATTCTTTTTAAACTTCAGATCATATTTCATTACTTCGCTACTTAATTATGGCTTTAGGAAAGCGGTATTATCTTTTTATGGCATCGGATGTGTTTCAGGTGTGCGTTGAAGATTACGAGCACTTATTATTAAAAAGGATCACCTATTTTAGTAGCATAACAGTAAATATTTTTTAGCTGCAGAATTTCCACTTTCGATGAGCTTTTCCTTTTGAGTTCAATAGTTTAGCACTGGTGTTTGATACCGAGATAACCCTCATGCCAAGTGAATCGCTACACCCGCATCAGAACTATGAGTGGGCTTGAGCTCGTGGAGCAGGTTATCGATCCGATCGGTGGACTTGCGGTCAAATTTAATTGGAGGATCTTTAACACCACCCTTGGTGCATGCCATGCTCTTGGGCCGATGCTTACACCTGTCTCGATGCGGAAATCCGTTAATACTCTCCTTGTAGGACTCCCTGGAGCGATTTGGCACATTTTCAGGCCTTGTGATACGTCGATGTTACGAGAATTCCTCACCAAAATTGACAAGCTCTCCTCCAGTCCTGTTTACCGTGGAAGTGGTGGCGACACAAGTTCAACAAAGAACATTGCCAGCAGTGCCCATGGCAATACTATGGGTGATGTTATCCACGATCAACGGATTTACCTCTCCCAGGACCAACTAGAGGACTTGAAGGCGGAGACAGGAATCAAACCTTATACTGTTCTTCAGTTTCCTGGCGATGCGATTTTCATACCTTCTGGATCTGTTCATCAGGTGAGCTTTTTCGAGAACACAAAAGTACATCTAACATTTCAGTGCATTGTAAACCAAGTTTGCTCATTTATCTTGTGACGTCACTGTCTTTAACCATACGGGGTACACATGCGCAATGTGGCTCTTGTTGGTTTAGTTAAACGAGGTTTTGTGTGATTATCTGCAACCCAGTTGAAGGGCTTGTTAATTTAGTACAAGGGAGCGGGTGAATTGTTGACCATTAAGGGCAACACTGAATTTTTAGAGATCGGATGAAAAGGATATGTTCTTTTGAAGCCATTATTGGTCAATTAATTCTCTTCTTTACAAGCAGATTATTACTTCCAACTTCGACTTCATTATTTGTCAACACCTTTGAAATTCTTTCTCTTATTTTTTGTCCCTTTGTTTTAGTGAAGTGAGTTGAGACTCTTCACTTATTAATACGCTCCCGCCGATGATAAATGGATTTTTGGGGAGAACGTTATTCACTTATTCTTTCCCATTTTTGCTTTAACCTTTGAGCTGTTTCACCAACCCACCACTGGCTCTTTCGATGTAGTAGACCAGCTAGTGCACATATTCAATGCTCCACCTTTTAACTGATTTGGAAAAAATGGAACACTTTGAAGCTCAATTAATCCATTAACCTATTTATGTATGGGGCGCAAGAGAACTCGCACACACTGTTGTTTCAGGGACGGTTGTTTATCATATTCGACCTCGAACTTATGCGCGAATTGTTGATGCAACTGAGTCCAGCTTCTGGTGCGCAAAGATGTGACAGTCCTCGCACCATTGACCGTTTTGAATGCCGTGGTGCTGTCGGAATATCGCGTAAAGTAAAAACGTAAACAACACGATCGATGTAAAATGCCATTGGATTGGGTTTCCTACGTGAAACCTTTACTAAGCTCAATATGTTTGGAGTTATACTTATTTAAAGTGTTAGACGCTTTTGAAAAATTTTTACAGAACTCGTTCACGCTCACCCTACGCCCTAGTTATTGTATAGCGAGAATTCGAAAGCACATTATGGTATAACTATTTAGCTGGCAAGGTTGTATTCATGATTTCACAGAAACGAGCATCCCCAGGCGACGTTGGTACATTGCCTACACCATTGAAGGTTGTATTATGACATAGAGCCAGTTTTAGAAGAGGACCGTTGCAGGATTTATAAAGTTTTATCATTACTAATCAATGCCAACATCTCGAAAGATTGCATTGCCTCGCTTAGTTAAACTACGAGGTTAGTTAATCTTATTATGAAACACGCCATTTCTAATTGGTTTTCACTCACACACACCGTCTTCATCTTCCAAACTTGCCAAGTGCCATCAATAAATGGGATAAATTGAGAATAATTAGGCACGGTTTTCAGGTTCTGTGGCGAGCAGTGGACATGCGCGACCTCTGCAGGTAGATCACCGAATTCAGACCACACAGCATTCCTGTGTGGGTGTGACCAAAGGTTAAAATGGATCGCTGAATGCGCAGACAGAGTTGCGTTGGACAGTGTGCTAAAGTTCTCATACTGCAACTTGATCGTAGCATGGAAGCGTTGGGTAGACACTTGTAGCTAATTACATAAGGGTATCAGTCGAATTTTCGATAACAAGAAAATGATACCTAGTTCATTAAATTTTATGTTGAGTTTATCATCGCGGTATTATCCGCGAATCTTATTGAGGCTAAAGTGTGATACCCATCTGAATGTCATTAATGGGTTTTTGTCTGCGCGTATCAGTGGTGCCATTGGATGAAGGCAAAATACATGTGATGCTAAAAAAACTAATGAATGAATAGGCTCCTCTTTGTCGATATGACCTTGGGGAGCCTTGCTGCAAGTGAACTGTCGCCAACCGTCATGAGGTCCCGCAACCGCATTAGCACTCATTGAAACAAATGCTCTCTGTGAATTGACGAGATATAATTTCACCTGATGGTTGGTACCAACTAACCAACTCTAATTCATATTTGGAAATTTGTGGCCATAAAAGTAGACCCTTGTCATCAGAATGTTTGACATCGTCGAGTGAAGCCACACCTTGAATTCCAATTTTCGAGAACGGTAAGATTCTTAACTCAAAGTTATTCACAAACCACTTGGATGCCTTTCTTTTGAAGGTACGAAACTTGGCGAATTGTATTAACGTCTCCTCAGACTTCATATCGCCTGAGCATGTACCCCAATGTCTTGAGTTGACGGATGAGTTTCGTCGATTACCACGGAATCACCCCAGCCATGAGGACAAACTGCAAGTGAAGAATATGATATACCACACCGTCAAGGACGCACTTTCTACGATTCTCAATACAACTACTACCACCGCTTCCAACCACCGCCGCTCTTCCTCCCCGATGGTCAACTCCTCGCCCTCCGACCACCAAACCCTCCATGTAAATTAAGAGGCCCCCAACTTCCCTAACCCGACCCACTTTTATCGCGCATTGTGATGTCATTTATCTAACGACCTCCTACACATACTACCACTAATGTTACCATTACCTACGAGAGGAAGAAAGACAAATGTTGCGGATACGTTTTTTATGCCCCTAATCATTCCGCTTGGATTGTGTGCACACACATGTACCCCTTATATACATACATAAACATACCCAGACAGACTGACGAACAGCGCTGTTGCCTAAGCAATGTGTACATACGCCCACATAGAGCCCGACGTAGCAGAGAGCAGCGCTTTTATGTGCGTTAAACGCCATTTACAACTATCACCTCAATGACAACGATAACATTGAGTCTTCTAAAATTAGAAGTAAATACATGCTTAAATCGTTTGTGCCGTCTTTGCTTCTTTCTTCTCATGATGATGCCACATCCTGGAACTGGTGCAGTGCTCTCTGCTAGAGCTCATCCTGATGAGGATCGAGTAAAAATTGTGCTAAGATGATGTTGAGAACCTCTGCAGTGTTGACTGTCTATTGAAAGGTGACTCTGTGGAGGTAGCGGAACTTGTGGAGCAGAAGGTGCGTAAAGTTGCATTTTTACAGCCAAATTTTAGCATAAGGTGTAGTACTTACAGTTGTCGGATAACAGTCTCATCTCCACTGGGGCTGTAGAAACTAACTGGGTAGATCACCATCTGATGTAAGGTTTGGGTTTGGAATGAATAAACCAATCCTGGAATTAAGTAGCTGAAAAAAAGTGGTGTAATAGCAAGAGGCCGGTTTTTTGTGGCCGCGGTCTAATCTCAACCGCCCTCAATCTAACAGTTATTGCATACAACGTCGGGGTCTTTGTTGCTCACGCAAGTTTACAAACAGAAAGTGACATAATGCGTACGCACGACCTTGCCAGTTCAACATTAATGAACTGTCTGAGTGTGTCTGGATCGTCGAGAGTTTTTCGTGCAGCTGTCAATTAACCTTGGCAGTCTAAAGTGCTTTGCACTGCACTTGGATCCCATCTATTTTGAATCAAGGCCAGTAAAGAGGAAGAAGGCATAAGCCCGACTTACATGTTTCTGCAATTCCTGCAAAATCGAAGAGGAATCTTCAGCCCCAGTTCAAACGCGTTAATAGTAGAAGATTATGCACAAAAAAATGGCCAAGAAATAAGTTTGGGTTTTCTCCGTACTCAAATTTGAAAACGTGAAAAAAAAATTGTTTCAGCTGCAGTTTTATTCGGTTAACCGCAATAACGGTTCCGAGGTAAATTATTTGAGTGTCTTTTGCATGGTATTTGCCCAATCGCAAACCTGAAAATACTCAAGTTATTAGGTGTTGGTTAATATTTTGTAATCAGTTAGTCCGTATTCAAAAGAAGTAGCATCTTGGTGGGCTGAGATGCAATCCATTTCACCTTAGCTACACTTCGTGAGTCACAGACTGGATAATTTGAATTGTGTTTTTCAAGTTCGACTGTGATCCATTATTGCCACACCAAAAACATTCAGCAAGTATCAAGCATTCCCAATTCAAGGGTTAAAAGTGGTCGTCAACATGTGAAGCGACAATTTTCGAAGGCACGCACAATTTTTTAGTTTTTCTGAAACGAGCCTTAGGTTCTGGTTTTAACTTTAACAAAAAAAGTTAACGAGTTACATCTTTACAAAAGGCCCCGAAATTAGCGCAGTTCATGACCTTCTATATTAGCTAAAAAATAACACTAGGTCGAGAAATTTATGTTGCCTAGCTTATAAATGGTGGGTATTTTTAATTTTAGCTTCCTATAATGTAAAAAATTTTAACTGAAATAGCACCCTTCATGACTCACAGCTAAATAAAGCATTAAACTGCGTAAATAAAAACAGAATTTCGCTGTATTACTTTCCGCATAATGTTATAATAATTGTATCGTCTGTTGCAAGTGGCACTGCATTACCCCTTTCTGATTGTTAGTTTTTAAAAGTCCATGTGTGTTCATAAGAGGTTGACTACCTCTTTGAGGAGTTACTTACATTGCTGAAGATTGTTAGTGAAGCTTCCTGAGAGTTCTATAACATTCGCCACGCACTAAGAGTGTTTACTTGTGGGACCTCTTTATCAAAATCGAGGATTGATAAAACAGCTTTGCAGGCCATCGAATTTCTTATCGGCTAAAAATGTACTTGACTGGAACGTAAATGGTTGGTCTACTGGTTCTCGATCTTCATTCTGCATGGTAACTTGATTTGTCTTGGCTTGTCCTCAAGGCACGGACCCAAAAAAAAGTGAGGCTGAATCTACTAGTAGTGTTGTCAATATAGAACTCTACTTCTATATACATAGTTGTTGTTTTCATGTAGGTACCATCTATATTTCCTTGACAATTTATTCAGTCAGTGCTACTTCATTTTTAATTGTGCTTTTATGAATCATAGAAATGTGGTAGTCGTCGAAGTCAGAAGCCATTTTGGCACTTTCTGATTGGGTGTCCTCGAATACTTTTCAATTTGTAGCAAATGAACTTCTTCCATCTCGGCAAGGCTTATCACCCGGCGGTAGGGATCCGAATAACTGCTCTTCTTGGTTGTTCATTTTGCTCTCATCAGTGAAGAACAGAATGCTATAGGAGGATACGCATAGAAGACACAAAGAAGAGTTTTAGTTACGGACATGATCTGCACACAAATTCACCCAGAGGAGATGCAACGACGAAGCCTTGTAATGGCCCCTTCCCCAAACTATGTAATATTGGTACTAATCCGAGGATTAAGAAAGCTAACTTTTGTGCAACGTTACGTTGATTAATTTTAAGCATTTAATGATCATGTCAACAATTAAATGAGTAACTTATAGGCCTAAAGTCCATACTAGATGACAGCGTCAGGAATGCCTTTTTTTCATGACTGGGGACGCATACCGATGTGACTTAAATAAAACGCCCCTCCATTACACTACGCCTCATGAAGTGCAAGGAAGACCACAAGGAGTGGAATTATGCATTTTGGTACTCGGCCTTGGGTTAGAGGTGGTGTAAATCTCTAGTATTTGCACAATTTTCCAGATTAGGCTAAGAACACATGGTTTTCCATTGTGTCTCCTTTACGTATACAGGCCTTTTGGCCACGATAGCGGCCTCAATCCTTTCTATCCAATTATTATGTCCTTTGTCGTCTTTAAAGAAGTCTCGGAACACTACAGCTGAGCAATTCTTTAAGTTAGACCATAACTGAGCCAAGTCGAGGTTATTTCGTCCGTTTCTAAAACAACGTTACATTGAAGCTGTAATGGTTGTGGATGGCAATCCCGTGCAAAATTTGAACATCCATAAATAAACTACTTGAGGACATTCGAGATGTTAAACGAATATCAGATGGTAAGTTATACTTTTTTTTATTTTTCAGACCACTAATTAAATAACGCATCTCGGATGCACCCTGAGCTGCATGATTTGAGGTTTGAAGACCTCTGCCAAAAAAGAAAATTGTGCAGCAGCAACCTCTATAAAAGTAACACCTTGTCAATCTGTCTGCTATCTTTTTACTCATATCTTTAGTTGCTTACTATCATCTTTTTTTTTTTATTTATTTTTTATTTAAGTACAAAACGTACTTACCTTTGAGAGTAACTTAAGTCCTTGCCAAAAAAGTAGCATACTAAAAAGCCTTTAGAATCGTTCCTGGAATTATATTCCTAAATGAGCAGTGGGTCAGGTGTTCATCAAAATAAGTTGGTACTAGTCAGTGGGGAATGCTCAACGTGTCAAAACAAGTTTTCACACCGTGTGTAGCATAAGGGCCTTTGTTTCCAAACCAAAAGTAAAGTTATGCGGACAGTTGTAATACGCTTATCTAACAACAATGGTTTGCCAAAAAGTGATTTTTTGGACGAAAAGCAATTCTTAGGCTGTGACGTAGTTAGATAAGCAAGTTTCACCTATTTCTGCAATCATATTTTAATTGTTTTGCTAATTAAAACTAAAGCTAAGCCTCTTTTCATTTGCCAACCATGGCATGCCAATTAAGGGAAACATTTGGCTATTACTCGGTGGCATTATTAAATGATGAAGGTTTTATTTCACTGAATGCGTTGTTGAGGGTAACTGCGTAGAGATGTCCTTTTGCAACATCTACCGGCGTAGCAATCTCATCCCTGATTGCCTGCAATTATTACGTAACTCTGTAAGCCAAAATGCTCTGCAGAAGGCAATACTCGCGAGAATTTCCCGAAGTGTGCTTTGGTGAGCAAAAAAGCCCATATCAAAATGTTAGATTTTAATTAGCATTGTGATGGTAATACTATTGACCTGATTACGTAGCTTATCAAATCGGTGACCACTATGTACGTCGAAGCATAAGTGTCGCCCAAGCCCGTCGTCCTCCTTCATGTTGATGTTGCCTACTTACTCTCAAATTATCCCAGAGTAGAGTGCTGTCATTACAGGTTACACAACCGTATAGTCAAAGTTCTTTGCCTTAACTATGTGACCGTGATAGAGCAATGCGAAGGAGGTCACGTGCTGTTTCGGCTAATTGCCGCGCCGCCTTGGTGATTGCAGGCTCGGAATTCGCAGCTACTTATTTATAGCATTCGACAGTCATAACGTAAGCTGGACTTGTCCTCTTGATGAGATTCGACACCTCGCATTCGCTATAACGCGGCAAGATCAAAGCACCTCATGATTTCCTCATTCAACCTGCAGTTGTTTTTAGTTTTCTCCTTGCATGATAATATTATCCATTTGATGGTGGAACGGTAAACTTTATGCGTCTTCTTATAAACTTCCACATTAAGTGACCTATTTAGTTAATCTGCAGCTCAATTTATGCCAGACTTTTAAAGTTTAACGAAGATCCTATTTCACAAGTCATACTAGTGGCCTTTGAGTACGGCACAAAATAAGTATCGTTGGCTCAAAAAGATGCAAAATTGTGTTTAAATCAATCCTCTTAAATTTGCTCAAAAACAATCCAGTTCGGTTTGTCATCCCATCGGGCAGCATTAAGGAGCGCTTCACAATTTTC